TGCATATTGAGGGCACTTCGCATCGAAAATGGCGGGGTTCGAACTCCCGGAACCCCATTCCTGTATCCACTAGTAATAGATATATGTTCAAATATGTGACGTAGCTCTCGTATATTAAACGAGAGGACAGGAGGTGAGGGACAGGATAAAATGTAAAAAGAATGAGAAGTAAATAAAAGTTTAGCGTAGGAAATGAGTATATAAGTAGTTATAAGGGTAGGCTTAATTGTTGCTATGGTAATACTAGAAGTATAAGAAATAAAGTAGATGACTTTAGAGCTCTGGTAGGGATGGGGGATTTTTACATAATGGAATAACTGAAACATGGTTAAACATAGATTATTTTGATGACAATAATTTCTTTGATATACAGGGTTACCGGTTATTTAATAGGGATAGAGTACGAAAGAGAGGGAGAGGAGTGTCTCTATATGTAAAATGTGAGTTACAGGATAATAGCATAGAGATTGAATCCATTTGGGTTTCTTTTAGTGGATTTAAAGGGAAAAGGTTTTTAGTGGGAATTCTTTACAGACCACAGATGATACTGGTGAAATTAGGGAGAAACATTACAATGAGATTAAGATTTCAGCTATTAAAGAAGTCATAATTATGGGTGATTTTAATTTCAGGCATATAGACTGGGAAATTCTAGAGTCAAACCATGAGAGAAAAATTATTTTGAAAATTGTTCAAGATGACTTTTTCCCCAATTGGTTAAGGAACCTACTAGAAATAATGCTACTTTAAATTTATTGTTAACTTCAAATACAGAAATGATAGAGAGGGTGGAAAGTGCTGAACATTTGGGTGCAAAAGATCATTGCTCTATTAGGTTCGATGTTTTTCTGAATATATAGATAAGGAATAGTGATATTTTGGTTACATATTTCAAAAAGCAAATTTTGAAGGTATACAACGATACTTATCTGTTGTGAATTGGGTGTCTGAGTTATTTGGAGACAATGATCAAATGTAGAAAATGTTTAAAGATAATTTTTAAATATATTAGGTAAACATATTCCTTATAGAAAGAAAAAGGTGGCTGCAAGTAAAACACTAGGTTGGCTCACAAATAGTATAAGATTTAAAATTAAATTAAAACATAAGAAATTTTAAGAAATTTAAATTAACTGGTATGATAGGAGACTTAGAAGGTTACAGAAGATCAAGAAAGGTCAAACAGGAAGTTAGGACATCAGAAGGATGCGTGAAAAAAGGTTGGCTGAAAAATGTAAAAATTAACAGTAAGGATTTTTTTAAATACATTAAGGGTAAATAAAATGTTAGAATGAGGTAGAACCTTGAAGGATGATAAAAGAAGGTTCGTATCTAATAATTATGAGTTGGCTGGGTTATCAAATTATGCTTTTTCTTCAGTTTCTACTAATGAAGATTTAAACAGCATTTCACATCTTCAACAGTTGATAGATGGAAACAAGATTGAACAAGATGATTGCATTAATTCTGAGCTTGTTAAGGAAAAATTGGGAATTTCCAGATAATATTTCTCCAAAGGTTTTGAAGGAGGTTAAGGATTTGATACATGTGCCACTTGCTACTATTATTTGTAAGTCCTTGAATAGTGGATTGGAAAATAGCTAATGTTACTCCCCATTTCAAATGAGGTGATAAAAGTTGTTCCAGTAATCATAGGCCCATTAGTCTTAAATCAGCTGTGGGAAAAGTTTTGGAAAGTCTGATAAAAGATACTTTGCAAAGCCATTTAACAAAGTTTAGAATTTTATTGTATAGTCAACATGGTTTCATTATGGGAAAATCTTGCCTTACAAATCTTTCGACATTCTTTGAAAAGGTTACTGCTTATGTGGATGAGGGTGTAGATTTGGTGTATCTGGATTTTCAGAAAGCATTTGACAAGGTACCACATAAAAGGCTTGTAAAAAATTATCTCTATAGATGTGGGGGATAAGTTAGTAATTTGGATAGAAGAGTTGCTGGATGGAAGAAAGCAGAGGGTTGTTATAAATGGAGTTCAGTCAAACTGGATTAATGTTACAAATGGGATACCTCAGGGCTCAATATTAGGACCTTTGATCTTTTTGACTTACATCAATAACATAAATGCAGAAAAGGTCAATAAGTTAGTTAACGTTGCAAATGATATTATGGTCTTGAGTGTTGCTAGCTTTGAAGAGGATGCCACTGATTTACCAAAG